GAATTTATCTCTAAAATTGTGACCCTCTCTACTCAAGCTCACTCTGAAAAGACAATTCTCATCTGAGACTTTACAGCTATCTGAAGTATCAGTATTTGGAAGTAAAAGGTTTAAAGAAGCATGAAAGGAGGAGGGACATGATTATGTCTTCACATCTCTCTTAGCTCCAGCAAAGAAGAGACTTGGTGAGGCAGGTGAACAGAACTCAGAGCAATTCATGGTCCCCTTGCTCTGTGGGAAGGTGGACGCTAAAGAAGGAGTTGTAGGAAAATAAACCATTTGGAAAAAGAAAATAAGAAAGTCTACAGACACTAGTTAACTTATTTTTATTTGAATTATATTTATATTTATATTTATAGAGTAGACACCTAATCCAAACTTATTTTTAAGGCTATTTGATCTTCACAAAATTTTACTCATATTTTACATATTTTAATTTACAAAATATGGATTTTATAGCATAATTGATCTATTTTTAATAAAAAAGAAGTTAAAGTAGGTGAATGGTGATATTGCTGATAATAATAATTCTGTATTTTTAAAAATTGTCACCATTCCAGATGTATTTCAAATACTGGCTGAGGGGACTGAAGAGTTGATTATTTCTGTTGCAGCCATGAAGCCAAGGGAGGGGAACACACTGAATATGGAAGAAAGAAGCAGCAGTGATGGTAGGAGCGAGATGAATTACTTATTACAGGGGTATCAATAATGGATGTTTTGATTTGCCTGTTATTATCCCCCACAGAAAACAGCGAGTGTGTACGCTTTGAAAGAAAATAGAAATCTAAGTGTCTGTACCAGAGAGAATCTTTAAATATCTAACAACTGTTATTTTACTAGTGGTTTATACATAGAAAGATTAACTAATAGTCCATTTATGATAAAATGTGTACTTAATGTGAATACATTTAATAAAATATATAATTGAATAGTTTTATTAAAAAGTCTATTCTTATTTTGAGGTGTATTAAAGTGGTTAGAAATGATATTCTTTGAAAAGTTTGTGAAAACTTCTGTAAAAAAGCTGATGTTTATTAGTTATAATTATGGATGTTGTTTCAACTTTTTCATTAAAATGTTTAAATAATAAGAACCAAAATATTTTATAACAAATATAACTGTAAATTTAATTTCTTATTTGACAACATAACAAGAGGCTGTGATTTTTTTTGGCAATCTATAATAAAACAAAGGACGTGGCCTCTACTGACAATACAGGACACTAACAACTTTTTCTCTGAAATCTTGGGCACAACCCTGACACAATTTCATGTTTTCATATGTATGGTTTCATGCTTTTATAAATATCTCTATACACATTTTTGCAAACAGATGCAAAGGTGCACAATTTTTGTTACTGTTTTTGGAGGAATTTTGTGGATTAGCAAAGGAATTGATATGTAAACTTTCTTTGCCCAACAAATTGCTAAGAATGCTACTTTTTTGAGAACATGTGTCATTATTTTTTCTGGAATAAAAAAAAAGATTTGTAACTTGTATCATTACCAGAAAGCACTGTCTTCCCATGCATGAATTATTGAAGTTTCCATAGAGGCAGTAATTATCCCATCTTTAAGTGCTCATACATATACATTTTATTTCACCTATTGCTTATAATCTCTTGGGGTAAACAAAACATGGAATGGAATGTCTTATCTAATGCCATTTCCTGAGTTACATTACAATAATATGCACCGAAGAAAGCAGTTTGCTTACCAAGCCATGAAAACTGCTTCTCAGCTAGAAATACAAATGTTCTTCTTGATTGAGTTTTAATGAAGATAGATAGATACATCTGCAAATGCATAGAGAGAAAGCTAGCCGAGGAGAAGCGGAAAATAAAATGCAAGTGAATGCATTTATGAACAAGCAGAACCTGCAGGCTTTCTTTGTCTGATATGATTGTTTCCCACAAGTTCGAATGTAAGCGAGGAGCTAGACTTGTAGTGCAACTTAACTTTTCCTACTACTCCAATTTCTCATCTTGTCTCCTTTTCAGCCTAGTGTAAAGCTCTTCAAATCAAGCCCCTCTGTTTCTGATTTTCTGATCTAATTATAACAGACTTTTCTTCGCAATCAGCATCAACGTTCCTTTCCTTGAAATTGCCTTGTATTTTAAAGAGTGGTATCCGCCACCCATATTCACTTGCTTTTTTTCTCTTAGGCAAATCCAGCTGCTGTTTAGAGCCCATACGGACCGTCTACACCCCCTGTCCATGACTGGTTAGAGTTTCTTCATTCAACATTGCAATTGTGCCTCTTCCTTGTATGATTAAATTTGAATTTGTGCTTTGAGAATATTGCACAAACCTGGCAACCAAAGGGAAAATAGATTTTATTTTATAAAGTGCTAGTTCTTTTTTTATTTTGTTTGTTTTAATTAAATAAAATGCTAGTTCTTTTCACACACACACACACACACACACACACACACCTATATACATTTCACCACCTTAAATCATAAGAGAATTATTTTGATTTAGTTCAAATTATTTTGCAAAATATGACCACTGAAACCATTATAGTCCTTAACATTGGTGAATAAAATAAGACAATTTAAGACTTGCAGCTGACACCTTTAATATTTAGAATTTTGTGATTTTTTTCCCTGCCAATCTAATTTCTTCCCCACAGTTCAATGAGGCTATAAAATATAAGTGGAGTTGAAGGGCAGGGCAATCAAAATACAGAATATTGAAAAGGTTGAGGTAGTAAAGCACCTTTCCCAGGATATATAAGCCATTAAGATTTTGATATTTTATATTAGTGCAGAGATTACATTGGGAATGGAAAATGGCACAACAAGAAGTCATCATTTTTAAATGACTACTTCAAAAGGATTGTACAGTAGAAAGTTGATCTCTTTTAGCCTCAAATTTTAAATAACATTTAAAATTGAATTTATTTAAGCTCACTTCAATTTATATATTATCTATAAATTAGATAATATATAAAAGATATATTATATATTTATCATAATATATTTATACATATGTTTTATAGCTTCTATGTTTTAAGACTTCTATGTTGTAAGACTATATACTTATTGGTATTATATATCTCAAACATTGATATAATGTCTAATGATATGGACTGTAACATATGTTACAGTACCTATAGTAGACAGCCAAAAAAAAATTGTTTACATTGAAATAAGCTTTATGATGTCTTTGAGGGTTATATCCTGTAGGCTAGAATCCTAACTAGTTTCATTATTATGAGATTAAAAAGCTTTGTAGCTGAGTGACATTCTTTCTTGCATTTTTTGTTTCAAAGTTGTTCACCTATACTTTCCTATGGCCATATTCTCTTACCTAAGATCAGGTCATTACAACAGAGTGTAGTCAATTCTCTTAAGAGTTCTCAGCCTGAAGAGTTTTGATGAATGTGGCAGTCTGAACACAGCGGCTTGTCTAATTTATGATTTCCCAAGGTGACATCTAATGCAATTTCAGGACAAATTTTATGGCAACTTGCAACTCAGGTACACATTCATTCCTTCAAAAGCATTATTTAAACATCTACTCTCTGCCAACATATTTTTTCCTGAAATTCTCAGTGTGGACCTTCTGATAACTTAGGGTCCAAGAGATGAAAATAATTTTCATAATAATACTAAGGTGATATCTACCTTTTTCATCGTTGATTTCTAAATAGAGTACAATGATATTTTCCAAGAGCTATATGATATATGATATCACAAATATTGGATACAGAAACAGATATGAGAATCCAGCTCTGAAGCTGTCAGACATTAGAAAGGTGAGAAAATATAAAATAAAGCTACTTTTTCTCACCAAACATCGTTTGTGGTGAAAATGTATCATTTTAAATGTTATTTTGTTAACATGTTTATTATTGTTACTTAAAATAAATTAACAACTAAGATATAATAACTGGGTCTAAATTTTTCCAAATTGCTTTTCCTTACAAAGGGACCTGATGCCAGAAGATGTGCGAGCCGCACTTCTAGATATTACTGTTTTCTCCATCCTGTTCCTAAGAATTCCCATAGCAGTAATATAACCTATGCTAAGGTGTGTTTAGCTATCTTACCATTGTTTCTTACTCTAAATTCTCAATAAAAACTTCTGCCAACACTAAAGCAGCATGTGATGTTTCTCATGATAAAGTACCTGGCAGCAATATCTGATAAACACTAATGCTTTTTTGATCTGGTTCTTTGATTTCCAATTTGCCCTTAGATATGCAGAAAAAAGACCTCCAGATTATGGTATTTAATTTTTTCTTACCCTCTTCTACTTAGTTGCCATATGGTCTCATTTGAGTAAAAACTCAGCTCTAGGTATAAGGCTTTACATCTAACTTTGTATGATTGTATAGTCATTTAATTTTGCAAATTTACCCATCCAGCTCTCCCAGTTATGTAATCAGTGATGATTCAATAAGCACTTATAAGACCCTTGAAACAAGGTAGTTACGTGTATTCTCACTTCTTTTTAGATTTGTGTTTAGCATCTACAGCCCCATAAGACAATTTATACCCACACTGTAGATGAATCACATCATTCTAAGTCTCTCTATTTTCCTTATGTTTTCTGGCTCTAAACCTAAGTTATACACATTTTTTCCCCTTTACTGTGATTTGCTTATTTAGCATCAAGGATAACACTTTCCCTCAGACTGTGGATATAGACAACATTGCTTAGAGACCCATCTGTTATGCATTATTTATATGATCTCAGGCAAGTTATTGACTCTCTAGATTTCTATTTGTTCATCAATAAAATGGGGAAAAAATAGTGTCAATCTTATGTGGTTATTATTAGATCTGTACGAGTTAACATGAAATGCTTTCCAAAACATGCTAGTCCATGAAAAAGTCTGAATAAATGTTTGTTGTTATGATTTTCTTGTAGTTCAATTCCAACTCTTGACGATATTTATTTTTCTTCGCTTCATCTCATTGTATTCTGACATGATCATACGGTCTAATACATATATTAGTGTTCTCACTGCAAACATGTGCAACCTACCAGAGAAACAGTAATCGTCTAAATTCTTTGTTGAGAAAACTAGTCACTGTCACAATGATGTTGCTATCTTCTCCAAGGGCACTGTTGGGAGAGGGGGAAAAAAACTAATAATATTTGCAGAAAAGTTCTTGTACTTAATATGTATCAGTCACTGTGTTCAACATTTTGCCAGGCTCTCTTACCAGCCACCTTGGAATACAGACTGTTATCGACTTATCATTAATGTATAGATAAAGAAATTGAGGCTTTTCCAAGATCATACGGGTAACAAATGGCAATTCAGGATATGGGTCTAATTGTTGCTGGGCTGACCTGTGCGCTGTGCTACTCTCATTGTTGCTATACTTACCACATTTCCCCACCACTGTCTGTAATTGTATCTTGACAATTGATTGAAGCCATGGTTGCCTCTGCTGCCACTTCGCTTCAGCTGTGCTCTTTGAGGCATCCTCCTTCTCAGTCGTGTAAGGCTTAAAATATTAAACCTTAACATCCACCTCACCCAGTAACTTTTATCATATGTCATCAATGAAACATCTCTGATTTATCTTTTATTGGCAGTGTTTATCCTAAAAGCTTAGGCATAAAAAGCAGTCCAAGCTAACAACAAACAAGACAAAAAGCCACCGCAATCTTATCAAAAAAGTGAATTCAAGGTATTTTTTTAGTTGTACAAACTTACTAGAGAAGACCCCTAAAATAGTTTGTCCTATAACGTTTAATGTAACTGTTTTACTTTATTAATAGTTATGCTTTACTATAGTATTAGTTTAATTAGTATTAATATACTTTAATATAAATGTATTAGTTTATGCATAAATTATTACTTATTTTGCAATGTTGACTAATTGAGTCTTTTTATAACTTAATAAATTACTATATTACTAAATTACTAATAAATTACTATACTATATATTGTCCTTGTGAAAAACATGAATAAAATAAAGTACTGGAAATGCAAATATTTTAAACTAAGTATTCTGTTTGGTAAACTTGTGATAGAACTCAACCCCTGGAAGGGAAGTTCTTTTAGAAACCATTTATCATTTTTAACGTTGATTTGAATTGTAGTATTCCTATAAATTATCCTGTGATTTTGGGGATACTGTTCTTTGTATAACTTTTTGCAGATGTAAAGTTTGGATGGAAAATAGTGAAAAGCAAAAAGTTGGGTTTTTTTTTTAAATCTAATACTGGAAGAAAAAATATATATAAAAGATATCAACTTCTCTACTTTCATCTTTAGAATAAAAAAGACTAACTTGTGGAATCTCACTTGTGGTGACTTAAATACAAAATTGCCCAGAATTTCAGAAATGCTTTGCTGATAATTCCCTCTTTGGGAGTCATGGGAACAGACTATATTCCTCTAGGTAAAGGGGGGTTAGTTTTCTCTAAGGGGAGTAACTTCCAAAAGACTATTGGTGCTCCTGAGAATTTAGGACTTAACATCCTACTTTGTGAGAGAAGCTTAAATAAAAATTATATGCAACTGCTCTCTCTAGTAATTTTTCTCTATCTCCGCTGTTTTGAAGAAAAACTAATATACATTATCTGAATAGGGCAGCATGAAGAGATGCAAAACTAATAAGATTATAATAATGTATTATCTAATCATTTTTAAAATGGTTTTACCTATACGTAAAATAAATTGAGTAATGGGAAAAATAACATCAATCTAGTGACTGAGAATGAAGAACCATCTACAGTGATATTTTATTTCTAGCAGAGGGAAATATGAGGTTACACGAGATTTGAAGGAAATAGTTCACTACCACTTACTGACTTTTTCTATAACCTATAAAGAGCTCAAGATAGAAAAAGGGAAAAAAATACACCAAAGGGTAAAAAGTGAAAGATAAATAGAAAGTGTGCCTTAAGTTTGAATGAAATTTAATACCTATTTAAGTGGCTGACCAGAGAATTCACATTTCAGGAATAAAACAAATGTGGAGTATACTGCAGGATAGGTAGAGGTGGTCTGGCTCCCTCACCAAATGCATAGGTAACCAGAGGGAGCAGCTCCTCACAACCTTGAAGGAGTCTGATAAAGCAGTGTTCCCACAGCCTTGAGCCCCATCTCATGGCCTTGAGCCCAGATGCAATAAACTGCCCTGTTGCCTTGAGTAGGCTCGCACGCGCAGCTCATGATAGTTACTTCCCTTTCTGGCCTGTGGTCTGCTTTGTTTAGGGCTAATACTTAAGGGGTAGGAGCTTTGGATGAGGTGGGGAGTCAGGGCACTGACTCGGACACGGGCTTTGAGGCCTGCGTGATTTCCCCGGTCACGGGCTTGTGCCTGTGTGACTCTCCCGAATAAAGGCATGTCAAGCATCCCCAAGGCTCCACACAGCTTCTTCTGTCTACCTGAGCCCGAAGTGGACCTGCCCAGCCTAGAGAGGCTGCATCACAATACCCACAGTTGTTCCATCGCCATGTTGTTCTTTTGTCTTTTGGAATTACTCCTTTAAGATGAGGGGAAGTGAGGATGGGTAGGGCAGGGGAAAGTGGTGGTGGGTAAATGGAGACAAAGGTATCTGAAAAATTTTAAAAAAGAAATAAATAAATTTAAAAAAAAGACATGTCTGCAATTCCATTCCATGTGTTTTGTTTGAGACAGTCAATCAGAACATCACACTCTTCTCCCAACTCAGGCGTGCACATCGTAACAAAAAAAGCATGGTTGCCATGTTTTCCATATCGCCCAAGCTCACCGGTGGGGCTTTTACCCATATGGTCTTCCACCCAAGAACCCCTAACCACAGTCTCATGAGAAAAAAAAAAAAATCAAATGAACCTTAATATACAAAATGTCTAACCAATGTTTCACAAAACTGTCAAGGTCATGTGGAACAAGAATGGTATCAGAAATGGCCACAATCTAGAGATGCCTAGGAGGCATAGTGACTAAATATACCACTTTTACTTATCCATTCATCCTTTGATGAACAGTTGGATTATCTTAGGGCTATAGTGAAAAATGCTTCTATGTACATTGATGTACAAATATTTTCTAAATCCTTGTTTTAATTCTTTTGAGAACATACTCAAAAGTGGAAATGCTAAATTATATGGTGGTTTGTGTTTAAATTTTCAAGGATTTGCCGAAAGTGATAATTTTTTTTTAAAAGAATTAACCCACCTGAGAAACATATACCCTGTAACAAGAAAAGTAGATAAGAGAAAGAAAAATTATTGATGGAGAAAAGTACTCTCCTAAAAATGCTGTCCTACAGCATATAACAATTGTAACTAAATATTATAGAGAATTTTAAAAGGTGAAAAAATCACTTTAATGAAGTAAGTCATAAAGTATGGAAGAACATAGATAAAAGAATGCATAACAAAGGTGAAAATAAAATACAAGCTGAATTCAGGCCTGACTTTGTAAACTAAAAGAGAACATCTTTTTTCAAGAGTTATTGACTCTTAATCTTAAAAACCAAAAAAAAAAAATAATAATAATATTACCTTTTATGGGACATTGGAAATAAAAATAAGAAATTATTTGAATCTCTTTCTATATTAAAAATAAGTAGTTTATAAGTATGATAATCATATATCAAGATTACATAGGATTGCTCTACTTTATAAATGTTGACCAAAATAAATATATAAATAATCTCTTTTTTTATTCCCAGATTTTCCTGATTCAGAAAATAAAATATTCAAACAAGTCATAAAATAAAATATCATGTTGGCTTTAAATTTTCCCTGTGTCATTTTTGGTGCTAGGCTAGAAAGATCTTAAAGGTTTCATAAAGACTTTTGTAAACTATAGAAATTAAATTAATATTTTCAGCTTTGGTGTTCTTTCTGACAAACGAGCAGCCAAGCTATTGACTAAATAGAGTACATAAGTTGATATAGTTTGTTCCTGAGTGACTATGCAGTCAAAATTCCCTTGAAGAGAAAAAAGCTAAAGATATACTTTTTAAATTGAGTTTTAATAGTAACAGAACATCCACATGACAATTAAAAATCAAGAATGTGGGTGTATATTTGTGTGTGTTCAATTCTTACTATTTTGTTATTCTACACTGTATTATAGTTGACCTTTTCTTATTTGTTATTATATAATACATTTTTAAGACACAGAAAAATTATCTCATTCCTGTTACTGATACAGAGAGCTGATTAGATCACTGGGGAGGAATAGAGAGGGGCCTTAGGAGGAGGTTCCCTGAGGCAATAGTAAACAGTCTAGAATGGGATTAGCTGAGAAGCTGAACCCTTCTGGAGTGCATGGAATTATGGGCCAGAAGACAAAATTAAAGGAGAGCAGAGACTGGCCTCTGGCTCTCTTCCTTTAGGGTGCCTGGATGATCGTGCTGCAGCTGCTTCCTTTTCCCAAAGGACGGCACTTTGAATGGGAGAAGAAACTCTGGGCACAGCCTAGGGTCAGGCTGGCCTGGCAGGGGGTGGCAGGGTTATTCTTCTTTGGGTGTTCTGGAGGGGAGGGCTTCTGAGGCAGAGGCCTGCCATTCTTCTAACGTTGTGTAGCTTTTGTATCTTACGTTGTTTTAGTTTGTAAACTAATCCTATAGAAATGAGATAATTAAAGACTAACTGGGGGAGTGATCGGTGAACTCAAGAGTTAAAGATTTTAGCCTTATTGGATCAGCTGAAGTGATTAAAGCTGTAACTAAAGAGTTAAAGGGCTTAGCCTTGATAGGCTTAAGTGACTAATGCTTGTGGAAAGCTGTTATTCCAAAATGGCATAGCTTTTCAATAAAGACTCCTTTATTATCAAACTTTTGCCTCCAGAATTTTGCCTAGGGAGTGGTAGCAGGCAGCAGGACCCCACTTGCTGTTTGGTAACATTACTACATATCAGTATGTAGCATACACTGTAAATAGTTGATGTAAATTAATAGTAGACATATTACCTCCAACTAAAATCAGACTAGAGGAAAAAATATGCATCACACTTGATGTTTGACAACAGCTTAGAGAGTACATAAAGTCTTCCAAAAATCAAATGCCTTAACATTGCCTAGAAAGTACCATTAACCTTTATGATATTTAGTAGTAAACAACAAATACAATGAGCATGTTCATCGAAGATGGAAAACTCTGCTGATTTTCGGGCCAGACATGCAAACAACCTTGAGGATATTGTTAGTACTGACCTCACAGAGTTTTGACTCTTAAGGTGTGAGTCAACATACACATGCTATTCAATTATATTTGAAAAATAATAAACATCACATCAGCACTAGCTGTCATTAGTCACATTCATGAACATTTATTGAAGTTCCTCTGTGGCTGGCAGTTTTCAGCACTTTATACCAGTAAACAAAAAGATTCTTCCCATTGTGGAGTCTTTCTGGTGGGATGTGTTGGGAAAAGAAAATACAAGTAATAATATATTAAATAACTTGATTGCATTGTTAATATAAAA